GCCCATTGCATCTCCAACTGGATCACTAACTTGCAATTTCGTTGCTGCTGTATATTCCTGTTGTAATCATTATTTGCAAGAGTATCACTTTGGTGTCCTCACTTACCAATTTTGTTGTTTGCGTTTGTATATTGGTGCTATATGTATTGCTGTTATATTAATATTTGAACATTATTGTTGTTGTTATTCTCCTCTTTCTAATTGTTATTACTTTTGTTTTGAGGCTGCTGTTGTTATCATTATCATTATTATTATTATTATTAATATTATTATAATCATTAATTATTATTATTATTATTATTATTTATTGTGTCGCACACTGCCTTTGTCAGTGGTGATAACAGCTTGAAACTTGGTGTCAACAAGACTCCTCAAATTTCAAGCACTTTGCGGTGGATCCTTGCAGAGTGGATGATAACAGTTTTCTGCAGTTCAACAATTCGTGTTCTTATTCCAAGGTCATCTAATCTTTTGGAAAGTTTCTTTGGGGTTGTCCCAAGTGCACCTATTATAATAGGAATTACTTTCGTTCGCATATTCCATAGTTTCTGTACTTCTCGTGCTAAATCTTGATACTTTTCTATTTTTTCCATCTCTTTTGCATTCACTCTACTATCATACGGTATGGCAAAGTCTATAATTTTGCATTCTTTCTTTTCTTTATCAATAAGAATGACATCAGGTCTTCTGGTTTGAATGACATGATCTGTCTGAGCATTGAAATCCCACAATAACTTACAGCTTTCGTTTTCGGTAACCGTTTCTGGTTGGTGTTCATACCATCTTTCTGATGCTGCCAATCCATACTTTCGACACAGTTCCCAATGGATCTTTCTTCTCACGCAATCATGACGTCGTTTGTACTCTCTTTGGGCCAGCATATTACATTCACTAATAATGTGATTTACTGTTTCATCTACCTTACCACACATACGACATTTGCTTTCCTCCTGTGTGTTGTCAATCTTAGCCTTGATAACATTGGTTCTTATTGCTTGTTCTTGGGCTGCCAGAATTAACGATTCAGTTTCACTTTTAATTCCTGTTCCTTTTGAGCCACATCCATCGTTCTTTTCCTGCTTCATCATCCGTTTGTCGTAAAAACTGGCCATGAAGTATTTTATCTTTCCATTCCTTTTGCCTTTCATTTTTTTCCTATTCTTAAAGTCTTATACACTTTCTCCTTGACAATCCTCTATTTGCCTTGCAGCCACTAGTAATCTTTCACAGCTATTTCTCACATAGCTTTTCAGTCCAAACTCAGCTAGATCAACAGTATCCTCTATGCTCAAAAGTCCTCTGCCCCCCTCTTTTCTAGGGATGTAAAGTCTGTTTGTGTTGCTCTTCGGGTGCAATCCCTTATGCATCGTGATTAATTTTCTTGTCTTCCGATCGATACCTTGCTTCTCTTCTTTGGTCCAATCTAAAAAGGCAGCTGAGTACCTTATCAAAGATACAGCCCAAATGTTAATCCCTTTAATCATGTTTTCTCCATTCAACTTCGTTTCTAGAACTTTTCTTACTCTTCTTTTATATTCTTTTGTGATCTTTTCTTTCATTTCTTGCCCTTTTACTTTGTCTACTTGTAATATTCCAAGATACTTATAACCTTTGTTGTCTTGCAACGACTTTATTACCTTCTCATCTGGCAGTTTAATACCTTCCGATCTTACTACTTTTCCTCTCTTTTGGATCATTGTCGCACATTTTTCTATTCCAAATTCCATTCTGATATCACTCGTGAATATTCTGACTGTCTGAACTAGCGAATCAAGTGCTTTTTCGCTTTCTCCATATAACTTCAAATCGTCCATAAATAACAGATGGTTAATTTTTTCTCCCGAAGCGAATTTATACCCTGGTTTAGACTTTCGTAGAATACTTGTAAGGGGCAGCAGTGCTAAGATAAACAGTAATGGTGACAATGAATCTCCCTGGAATATTCCTCTATTTATCTGTACCTCCCCCAACACATTATTATTATTATTATTATTATTATTATTATTACTATTATTATCATTATTACTATTACTATTACTACTACTATTACTGTTATTATTATCATCATCATCATCATCATTGTCATCATCATCATCGTCATCATCATTCGCATTATTAATTTTGTCACCATCATTATCGTGATCATCATTACCACTATTATTAGAGGACCTTTCTCTGCCATAAGACATCCACGCACACACGAACACACACACATTATTACCACCATTATTATTATAGATATTTTTACTACTATTATTTTTTCAGTAGATTACACATTAAAAATATTGTTATCACTTCTGTGTGTATTTCTTCTACATGCTTCGTGATTCATGAATAAGAGTATTCATGAATGTCATATATATACGATATATATATATATATATATATATATATATATATATATATATATATATATATATATATAAATGTGTGTGTGTGTGTAAGTATGGGCATTGTGTATGTTTGTTTGTGATTGTCTGTGTGTGTATGTATGTTTATG